CCCTGCCAATAGTTAGTATCACTGCCACCCCTGCCAATAGTTACTATCACTGCCACCCCTGCCAATAGTTACTATCACTGCCACCCCTGCCAATAGTTAGTATAAATGTATTTGTGGCTTTGTTTTACTATCACTGCCACCCCTGCCAATAGTTAGTATAAATGTATTTGTGGCTTTATTTTACTATCACTGCCACCCCTGCCAATAGTTAGTATAAATGTATTTGTGGCTTTATTTTACTATCACTGCCACCCCTGCCAATAGTTAGTATAAATGTATTTGTGGCTTTATTTTACTATCACTGCCACCCCTGCCAATAGTTACTATCACTGCCACCCCTGCCAATAGTTAGTATAAATGTATTTGTGGCTTTATTTTACTATCACTGCCACCCCTGCCAATAGTTAGTATAAATGTATTTGTGGCTTTGTTTTACTATCACTGCCACCCCTGCCAATAGTTAGTATAAATGTATTTGTGGCTTTATTTTACTATCACTGCCACCCCTGCCAATAGTTAGTATAAATGTATTTGTGGCTTTATTTTACTATCACTGCCACCCCTGCCAATAGTTAGTATAAATGTATTTGTGGCTTTATTTTACTATCACTGCCACCCCTGCCAATAGTTACTATCACTGCCACCCCTGCCAATAGTTAGTATAAATGTATTTGTGGCTTTATTTTACTATCACTGCCACCCCTGCCAATAGTTAGTATAAATGTATTTGTGGCTTTATTTTACTATCACTGCCACCCCTGCCAATAGTTAGTATAAATGTATTTGTGGCTTTATTTTACTATCACTGCCACCCCTGCCAATAGTTAGTATCACTGCCACCCCTGCCAATAGTTAGTATCACTGCCACCCCTGCCAATAGTTACTATCACTGCCACCCCTGCCAATAGTTACTATAAATGTATGCATGGCTTTATTTTACTATCACTGCCACCACTGCCAATAGTTACTATAAATGTATTTGTGGCTTTATTTTACTATCACTGCCACCCCTGCCAATAGTTAGTATCACTGCCACCCCTGCCAATAGTTACTATCACTGCCACCCCTGCCAATAGTTACTATAAATGTATTTGTGGCTTTATTTTACTATCACTGCCACCCCTGCCAATAGTTAGTATAAATGTATTTGTGGCTTTATTTTACTATCACTGCCACCCCTGCCAATAGTTAGTATAAATGTATTTGTGGCTTTATTTTACTATCACTGCCACCCCTGCCAATAGTTACTATCACTGCCACCCCTGCCAATAGTTAGTATAAATGTATTTGTGGCTTTATTTTACTATCACTGCCACCCCTGCCAATAGTTAGTATAAATGTATTTGTGGCTTTATTTTACTATCACTGCCACCCCTGCCAATAGTTAGTATAAATGTATTTGTGGCTTTATTTTACTATCACTGCCACCCCTGCCAATAGTTAGTATAAATGTATTTGTGGCTTTATTTTACTATCACTGCCACCCCTGCCAATAGTTAGTATCACTGCCACCCCTGCCAATAGTTAGTATCACTGCCACCCCTGCCAATAGTTACTATCACTGCCACCCCTGCCAATAGTTAGTATAAATGTATTTGTGGCTTTATTTTACTATCACTGCCACCCCTGCCAATAGTTAGTATAAATGTATTTGTGGCTTTATTTTACTATCACTGCCACCCCTGCCAATAGTTAGTATCACTGCCACCCCTGCCAATAGTTACTATCACTGCCACCACTGCCAATAGTTACTATAAATGTATTTGTGGCTTTATTTTACTATCACTGCCACCCCTGCCAATAGTTAGTATAAATGTATGCATGCGTTGTTAAACAAAAATTTTAATAACAGCATAATGGCCAGCTGGGATGTGGTTCATCTCAGTCTGCGTCACTTAATTTTAAAATATTGAAAACAAATGCCATGTGAGCCATGTGTGCTTGTTTACGTGACAGACTTTTAAATATATCAACCTCAGCGGCTTTTGTATTTTAGCTTTGATTATTGACGCTACTCTTTGTTGGTATGCGGTACTGTAATGGTATTTTTTTCGTCAAATAACATCACTCCGACAAAAAAACAGAAAAGTGGCATAAGGACTGGTGGGAATTTTTGGATAACAATGCTGTATGTGGTCTCTTCATTGTCATGGAAATGCGTTATTACCTTTGTTTGAGGTTGTAAGGAAAAGGTAAAGTCTAGGATGGTGACTTAAGCAAGTTGTGTGTACAGTTTTACGGTGCTACTGTATAGGCATCTATTGCATCGCGATGGGAACTAGTATGTTGATGTATTCACTGCTTTGTCCGTCGCTATGCCTACTGGGTACAGAAGCTTGTGCAGCTGCTCACGTATTGTCACTCACCAAAGGTCGATTAACGGACTGGGATTGTTTTCTCTATTTTGTTTTATTCTTTATAATGTTGTATGTGGACAGAGATTAGTGCATTTTGTGTTGTATTCTATATTGAAGCACTGTGTGTGCACCATAGCATCATTGGAGGCATACCATCACAGTAACAGAACACTTGCTTTTATGCTCTAAGTGAACATAGAAACTCTTTAAAACACAGTTGCTGATAAAAAAAAAAAAAAAATTATCTCTACAATCTTCAATAATGTACCATAAAAATCAATTTTATTTGTTTTTAGTTTTTCTCAGTAAAAAAAAAATTATTACTTGACAGGTGACAAAGTTGTCCTTAGCATTGACTCAAAGTACACCTTCAAAGTCAAGGTTATAGTGAATCGCTTGCACCAGGACTTGATTGATTTACGCAGACTTTAACAATTCTTCTTTCTTTGCCTGATTAGTGCCTAATCTCCATGAAATAAATGCATGTATACAGTTAATAAACTTCTACTCAGAGTAATTTGTGACACTGCTTGAACTTTCAAAAAAGGGTATGCTTGTTAGTTGCCAGGCAGAATGATACTCTAAAAGGAATTGGATCAGTATTTTGTTAACATTTTTATTCATCTACATCTCTAGTGCCTAGTGTTAAATTTGTTTGGCCTCAAATTCATGAATCAAAGCTATCAAAAACATTTTTCATTTTTTTTTAGATTTTTTCTTTTTTGATATTGTTCAATATTTCAGTTTTGTAACCATATCACAAGGTTGTATTAATGCTCAGTACTGATTACCTGTTGACTAGCCAAGTTAACAAAGCATTTTTAGCTCTGCTGTCTACAAAACAGAGCTGTTCATATTACTGATTGTCCGTCTTCGTCCTCTGTCGTCAGCGTCAACTTTACAATTTCAACTACTTTGAAACGACAAGTCTAAATGTTTTCAAGTTTGATATGAATGGTTCTCTCTCAGATTTGTTCATTTCATGTCAAAATCTTAAATTTTATATATTTTGTCTTTTTATCTAATGATATCTTCAGTTCTTTTAATTGAAATGTGCATTGCTAACAGCAGAGCTGTCTCAGCCGACAGGCTGCTTGTTATATCATATGAAGTTTATGTCCCACTAAATTGGCGATCATGTATGGTTGATGTGGGTCCCATGCAACATATATGTTGTTGTTTATTTACATATTACGACACATTTGACTACCGCCTCGTCACACAAATGGAAATACTGCTAGTCATTGGAGCTAGTCATTGGATACTACTGCGATATTTTTTTCAAAAATGAAATTACAAATTAGATTAAAATGTGTGAAAAAATTCATGTTTTGTGGTTTATTTGGTTTAGTCATTAAAGAGATTAACAAGTTGTTCACTGTCACCCTGTAGAATACATTGGCTGAGATTAACAAGTTGTTCACTGTCACCCTGTAGAATACATTGGCTGAGATTAACAAGTTGTTCACTGTCACCCTGTAGAATACATTGGCTGAGATTAACAAGTTGTTCACTGTCACCCTGTAGAATACATTGGCTGAGATTAACAAGTTGTTCACTGTCACCCTGTAGAATACATTGGCTGAGATTAACAAGTTGTTCACTGTCACCCTGTAGAATACATTGGCTGAGATTAACAAGTTGTTCACTGTCACCCTGTAGAATACATTGGCTGAGACTAACAAGTTGTTCACTGTCACCCTGTAGAATACATTGGCTGAGATTAACAAGTTGTTCACTGTCACCCATGTCTATTTAAACTTGTGATGTGAGGAGTAACACAAAAGTCTGACTGGCCGACCAGCGCATGCATACATACGTCTATTAAAATACCTATTCAACCATACACATTGACACAGTTCTTGTCAAAACACAAAGTCTGTAACACCCATTACCGGTATGTCTACATTTAAAGTAATTTTGATGCAAAAATTGGGCACTTAAATTTAGGGTGTCCCATATACTCAAAAATGAATTAAATTTGGATCCCATAATAACTTTTTTGACCATTCTTGCTTCATTCTTTATTTCAGGAAAGTCTTTTTGATGATTTCCTCTTAAATTTCTCAGTCTGTCTTTTTGTGGCTACTTCAGCATCAAATTTGGTATGTCCCGAACTAGGTTGGGGAGACCTTGTGTGTGTATTTGATAAAGTTTAGCTTTACAAAGGTTATCGTTTGTAACCCTTTTTAACAGGAATGTTTTCATTACGTAAAGCTTTGATTCCCCTCAAAGTTATAAACCACTCACGCCTAACTTCAAAATAGTTATTCCTAAGCCTCAGACAAGACCATGCAGGTTCCTTTGTTTGGAGTATTATCTGAATACAGGAAATAGAGTGCAAATTTAGAAATTTTGCCAAAAAAAAGGAAAAAATAGGCAACGAAACAAAACACTTGCTTGAACAAAACTGAACTAACATTTTGGAAAAATATATCATGGATAGGAAATGTTGAATGTTACTTTGATGACAAAAATGTTTTTTGTGCCAAATTGAAATTGCAGTATTTTGCAAATATGTACTGTCAGTCAAATTTGTTAAGACTTGTTTTTCTATTTCCCTAATTATCTTCTTGAAAATGAAAACAATCTTGTTTTTATTTCCACAAATAACTAAATATTCCCCTTTTGTTTTCCCTACAGTTTGTACAGGGACTAACAGTCGTCTTTCTAGACCTGAAGACAAAGAACAACACTACCTTCAACTCAAGTTACGTTATTCAAACTGCACCTATGTCGACGGAAACCTTGAAATAGTAGATATTGTTGATGAAGATGCTGATTTATCATTTTTGAAAGATATTCAAGAAGTGAGTGGCTACGTCTCTATTGGTTTGGTAAACGTTGATGTTGTGCCATTGCCAAATTTACGGGTTATTCGAGGCGCTACCTTATACAATGGTAATGCCCTATATATTGTGTTAAACTATGATAAATCAAGAGCTGGAGTTGGTCTCAAAGAACTGCAGTTCACTGCTTTGAAAGGTAAGAGTAAATTTTATTTAAAGTCATTCTGTATTTCTTGCACTTGTATCATTCATAACCATCTTGGAAATTAATTTTTAGTCCGAAGACAGGAAATTATAGTTTCACCTTTGTCTGTCTGTCTGTCGGTACTAATTTAGCTATCTGTTATGATTTAGGTCTGATATGGAGGCTGTTAGTAAACTAGTATTGTTTCTTCTATTTTGATGAAATACTTTCAAATGTAGTTACTTGGACCGTGAACCAAGTTACAGCATCTTCAAAATATTCAAAAATTACTACCTGTACTTTTCCCGCGGCTTATTTGTGATTCTGTTTTCAGGTGACATCATAGAATATTTTTTTAAGTGAATGTTTCACAGAGATGGCTTAAATTTAATATGCCTCAGTTACATGTAGCTTCCTGTGTGATGCACACTCACAACTGTTAATGTATGGCCTTTAGGCTCCAACCTTATTAATTTATTGACCAGCATTTTACTGATGTTGCCGCAGCGTCTGAGTGAATTTCAAATATCAAACATTATGGACTTCCTACACTTGGGCCAAAAAAACAAATCATTTTGCTTCTCGTCCAAGGAAAAATGAAAATTTTATTGTGTATTAAATGTACAATATTTAATGCGTAAAAGATTGATTTGAATCGACATTCTCTGAAACAGAAAGACAATTCCTAATTCTACCATATGTACTGTATAATACGTGCAGGTTTTCAGAAACAAAACTTTTTATTTGCACCCTAATTGTACATGTAGTTAGTGAGCACCTAAAGCAAAATTCCAAATACTGAATTCATGTTGTCTAGAAAAGAAAATTAATTAGTTGCTGAGTAACAGAAAGAATGCTGTAACCATAAATTTTCCACCAGAATTGTGATGCAACATTTTTAGCTCCGCTGTCGACTTTGTCGAGCGGAGCTTATCATATGAGTGATTGTCCGTCGTCGTCCGTGTCAATGCTTTACTTTTTCGACTTCTTCTTGAAAACTACAAGCCTGAATGCTTTGATACTTGGTGTATATGTACCTTGGGTAGACCTCTCTTAGGTTTGTTCATTTCATGTTGATGTCTTCAATTCTCTAATTTTGGTGAATATTTTTGTCATTTTTGGTAAAAAGTGATATTTTCGACTTCTTGTTAAAAACCGCAAGTCCGATTGCTTTGATATTACATATATAGGTACTACATGTGGACCTCTCTCAGATTTCTTCATTTTGTGATGATGTCTTCAATTCTCTAATTTTGGTGAATATTTTTGTCATTTTTGGTAAAAAGTGATATTTTCGACTTCTTGTTAAAAACCGCAAGTCCAATTGCTTTGGTATTACATATATAGGTACTACATGTGGACCTCTCTCAGATTTGTTCATTTCGTGATGACATCTTCGATTTTTTAATTTTGGTGAATATTTTTGTAATTTTTGGTAAAAAGTGATATTTTCAACTTCTTGTTAAAAACTGTAAGTCTGATTGCTTTGATATTACATATATAGGTACTACATGTGGACCTCTCTCAGATTTGTTCATTTTGTGATGATATCTTCAATTCTCTAATTTTGGTGAATATTTTTGTAATTTTTGGTAAAAAGTGATATTTTCGACTTGTTATAAACCAAAAGTTCAATTGCTTTGATATTACATATATAGATACTACCTTTCTCAGATTTTTTCATTTCGTGATGATATCTTCAATTCTCTAATTTTGGTGAATATTTTTGTCATTTTTGGTAGAAAGTAATATTTTCGACTTCTTGTTAAAAACTGTAAGTCCGATTGTTTTGATACTATACATATTGTTCATTTTCTAATGATGTCTTCAGTTCTTTAATTGAAATGTGCATTGCTAACAGTGGAGCTATCTCAGCCGATAGGCTGCTTGTTTTACTTAATCATGTATTTAAATAAAATTTCTTTGTGACGTTTGACAAAACTTGAATATAGTTTAAAACAAAATTAAATAAAAAATGGTCATGTTTAATTTGTAAACTTGAAATTTAAAGTTTATAATGATAATGTATCAGGTAAAATTTGCTAAAATGAAATGTACAGTACATTTAATATGAATTGAATCTGTTGGTACAAACCATGGAAACCATTGTGGCACTCTTACTATGCCCTCTAGTGTTCAAAATCATAATTTTTTTTAGGGTTCAAAAATTAATTTGTCTGAATTTCTAAGTTATTTATAGTTTTTACTTATCGAACAATTGGGTAATAATAATATGTATATTATTCTGTTCTCGCATTATACTAGTTTGCCCCAAAATTATTATACTGACACAAAGCAACACAAGTAGTGAATCATGGGAAATCAATGAATTTTGGGTAGCGTATTTAATACACATTACCGGTACTTTGTTTTTGTTTTTGTGCAAAAACTGGGTTTGAGAAAAATAAAACAAACAAAAAACATTTTAGTCCAGATAGTGTTTGTGTTTCATGAATACGTTACCAGAAAATAGACATTTTATCAGTTTTCAGATAATAGAGAAAAAGATATTGATGATTTTATAATAATTTATTTTCAGAGATTATTTCTGGTGGTGTCAACATAACTCACAATAGAGATCTATGTTACGCAGAGACAGTAAATTGGGAGGATATTACAAGTACTAATGCTAATATCATTATTAAACCTACAGACGAAGATGCTGCAATCTGTAAGTAACAATTGTCTTTTTGATTTCATTCAATCATGATTGTTTTAATAATGTATGCTGCAAAGTATGTTATTTTATTATTCATAGATTATGGGCATTGTGCCTGAGTGTGGGAGATCATTCATCTGACTTTAAAAGAGCTAATGTCTTCTCTGCATGAGGGCGGTAATATTTAGTCCCCGTTCTTATGGGATTTATGTTTTGACCTCTGTGTGTCCGTGCGTGCATGCGTGTGTCCGTGCGTTTGTCCGTGCGTGTGTCCAGACCTGTATCTTAAAAATGCCTGGACCAATCACAATCAAACTTCACACATACATCATACATGATATTATACATAAGCATGTCAATTTTTTTCACGATCTGGTTCAAGATGGCTGAATGGCGGCCATTTTTGTGCTAAAAAATCAAGCATTTCTTGGCTGTTTATAGATGGATTTTGTTCAAACTTGGTATATACATTAGGCATTATGAGACCTTGATGCAAATAATTTTGTTTTTCAGATTAGATTTAAAATGGCCGACTGGCGGCCATTTTGTTTTAATGAATGTGGTTCTTATGCCATATGTCTGACTTGCTTTCACTGATTATGTTCAAATTTTAAATATTCATTATACATAATGTCATAGATAGACGTATATATATTGGTTTGACAATCCTATTCAAAATGGCTGAATGGTGGCCATTTTTGTGCTAAAAAAATTCTCAAATATCAAGCATTTCTTGCATTTATGGATGGATTTTGTTCAAACTTGGTACATACATTAGACATTACAGGTTCCCGATGCACGTCATCTTATTTTTCAGATTGGATTCAAAATGGCTGACTGGCGGCCAATTTGTTTAAATGATTGGGCTTCTAGATCCATATCTCTTAAATGCTTTGACTGATTATATTCAAATTTTATATATTCGTTATACATCATGTTATATATATATATATATATATATATATATGTATTCAAAATGGCTGATTTTGAATGCTGTTCCAGAGCAATATCTCTCAATATGGACAAGTACTTGTTTGACGATCAGATACAAATGTCAATCATTTTTATATTAAAAAATCATATTCCTTACATGGTTATATTACTATAAACAAAACTATATATCTTAAATTTGATAACTAACGTGGACTGTGCCATGCATGGCTTGTTTCATTAAATGCGGGTTAAATCTAGCTGAACCAAAATCAAACCAAAACTGCGCCAAAGTCAATTTTGTCACCAGAATGAAAATAGATCAAAAACTAGAAGCATGTCACATTTTGTTTGTTTGGGTTAAAATTAAGATTGAATTCTTTGAAAATTACAGAAAATGTGAACAAATTTACCCAAATTTATGCGACATAAATTTGTTTCTCAAATATTTAAAGATAGGGTTTTGCTGTTTGCTCTGATTTGTTGTTATAATATTTTTGTGTATTTTTTTCAAAAGGATTTAAAAGTGTCAGAATAAGACTAGCCATGATTATGGGTATGTTTTGGTCAGAGACTCAATAATGTTGGCAAACTAGTTAGCATAATCATGCAAATGAATGTACTGTTTAGGTTACTGCTGATTGGTAACAGTATATGAAATATATTATGCAATTTGGTTGTCATAAAGGGAACTTTTCACTTAAAAAACGTTTGCCAATAGGGGGCAGTATTTACTAGGAATCAGTCACGTTGAATATGTAAGATTTATTGTAAAAGTACAACCAACAAATAGGCATTTTTTAATGAATTAAGTTTTAATTCTATTGTGGAAAAATAATAGCAATACTGTTTTCAAAAGCGATAATCTTGTTGTTTATAGGTCCCAAGATCTGCCACACTTCTTGTGACTCCAACCATTGCTGGGGGTCTGGGCCAGAAAACTGCCAAACATGTAAGTCATATAATACTATCTAAGTAAATTTCAAAATATTTTCAAATCTAGTTATTGCTTCAATTTAATTTGCATAGCTGGTTGTAGTCCATTGTCATCATCATATTTTTGCCTTCAAATGTACACCTCAAAAATAAATTCACTTATAGGTGACTTAATAGTTATTTGTTGCATTTATATTTATGAAAGACAAAAATATAACACAAATGGTTTTTTTTTGTCTGATATAGTGACAAAAACTGTGTGTGCTGAACAGTGTGACTATCGCTGTAAAGGGCCATCACAGAGAGATTGTTGTCATGCAAGCTGTGCCGCTGGGTGCACTGGACCATCAAGCTTAGACTGCCTGGTAAGGAACGATTTATTCTATTCTATTGGGGTTGGTAGGTCATCCAATAGGTTGGTGAATTATCTTCACTATTCTTATGTGGAATTATTGCTTATATTTAAGAATTGGGTTGGTCACTTTGTGTGCAGTAACAACAAACTATTTAATTTAATCTAATTTCAGGTTTGCCAAGTTTTATTTCATCTTAAAATCATAAATTTAGTACTCAATATATTTCTTTTGTTGTGTAAAACAAGTTAAAATCAAATTAAAATGTACAAGGTATTGAATTAAAAAACAACAACAACAAAACAAAAACTTTACCACAAAAATATGTATCTGCTGATTTCAAGTTTATCTGTTCGGTCAAGTTTATCTGCTCTAGGTGCTGTTTATGTTTTTTAGCTATATGAGTGATTGTTCGTTGGCGTCCCTCGTCTGTGTCAACTTCTTACGTTTTCGACTTCTTCAAAACTACAAGTCTGAATGTTTTAATACTCAAGGTGTATATGTATCTTGGGTAGATCTCTCTTAGATTTGTTCATTTTATGATGATATCTTCAATTCTCTAATTGACTCCCGTGTGCGAAGCACAAAAAGTCTGTGTCTCAAGAACCATGCATCGGTTTTTGATGAAACTTGGTGCATAGATGCTCTGGGCCAATGCGCAGATTTGATTAGGTTTTGGTAAAAATCCAACCATATTAATTACCTAATTTGCATGATAATTAGCTGATTTTTAGCTGTTCCATGACTGTTCCACTGATATCTAAAGAACCACACATTGGATTTTGATGAAACTTGGCACATAGATGCTCTGAACTAATTAATGTGCAGATTTGATTAGTTTTGGGTAAAAATCTGTGCAATATTAATTACCTAATTTGCATAATGATTAATCAATTTTTGGCTTTTCTGATATCTCAAGTACTAATCATCAAATTTCAATAAAACTTAGATATCATACATAGATATCATAGAACACTGCACAGACCTGATAGTTTTTAGGGTAATATCAGTACATATTAATTACCTAATTTGCATAATTAATTAATTTTCAGCTTTTCATATTTCAAGTAGTAATTATCACATTTCAATAAAACTTGGTACATAGATGTCATAGGACACTGCACAGACCTGATAGTTTTTAGTGTAATATCAGTACATATTAATTACCTAATTTGCATAATTAATTAATTTTCAGCTTTTGATATTTCAAGTAGTAATCATCACATTTCAATGAAACTTGGTACATAGATGTCATAGGACACTGCACAGACCTGATAGTTTTTAGGGTAATATCAGTACATATTAATTACCTAATTTGCATAATTAATTAATTTTCAGCTTTTCATATTTCAAGTAGTAATCATCACATTTGGTAAATAATTTGGTACATAAATGCTTTAGGACAATAGACAGGCCCGATTAATTTTGGGTTGAAATTTGTTCATATTAATTCTCTAATAATAATTCATAGTTTTTTTGTTCTAATCTCATTTCAATGAAACTTGGTACATAGATATTACATTACGCAGGCCTTATTAGTTTTACACTCAAATCTGTTCATATCAGTAACCATAGTTTTCAGCTATTCCATCAATATCTCAAGTACAAGTAATTTTGAATTAATTTTTAATGTGTCTTCAATACTCTCAGCACACAGCAGTTCTTTCTAAGCTTTCTTTGATTTTAATGATTATTTGTTGAATTCTTGTTGAAAACAGCAATTGCTTTGATACTATACATATTGTTCATTTTCTAATGATATCTTCAGTTCTTTAATTTAAATGTGTATTACTAACAGCAGAGCTATTGAGCTATCTCAGCCGACAGGCTGCTTGTTAATGAGCTGTTATAATTTTTTGATTTATTTGATATTCTGTAAGCATGTAAGCTTGGACATGTGCTTGTGACCACAAGGTCACACTTGACATTTGACCTTTTAGATAATTTCCTGACCCCCATATTTCACTGTTTATATCCTGCCAATTAAAATTGTTTTGGTCACTGTGACTGCATGTTTGAACATTAGCTTCTTATTTATAGACCAATGTCCTTGGGAGATGTGTTTAATTACCAACCTCTATGTTAGTCTACAGTAGGATCAATTTAATTCCTCAGCTCCTGAGAGCGAGGTTATTTGTAGATATGCTGGCGATTGCCTCTGTGTTTCCGGAAGTACTATGGGGGATTGCATGATGGGAGTGGAAAGTCTTTTGATCAGTAAAATAATTTTAGAAAAGTAAAAACTAGAGTGACTGGTGAGTGAGTGAAATGAAGGTTGGTTTTAAATATTAAATATCATGGAATCTTGATGAAATAATGAAAGGAAACTGAAGTGGTATGAAAAGGCAGTAAATGTAGCCAGAATGCAAGGTCAGAATCCCGGGTCAAAATACGTCACAATACATCCATCAAGGCGGTTGCAAAGTGTCAACAACTATGGATGAGGTAAAAGACTTTGTTTGCAGTTTGCGTGAATGGCCGGAAAAAAAAAATCATGCAAATTCTGTGCTTCAGTAACAGTATTTGCTACTTTTTTGTGCAATGGAAATTAATACAAGAAATGCTGGGACGTTTATCTTGAGAAATTGAGAAGACGAAAATTCTTTGGGACAGTCATTGTGAAACAATAGACATGCTTCGCCAGGGTATCAAGGTTATTTTGATTATTTGAAGATGGAAACTGCTGCTTTATGAAAGAGCAAATTTCAATGTCATTGGCACAGTAATGACGTTTTTAGAGGGGTGACTCGCTAGAAGTATTAGCCGTGACTCCGGACTTTTCATTCGGGTTTATACAACACTTACTTGTTACTATCAAGAAGGTTTAATGTTTTGTTTGTATTTGCACAATGTGAATGAGGGGTTTATTGTCAAAATATATACAGGTGCTTGTATGTCTATTGAACTATACAAAATTTGACCAATGCACATCCGTTTCATGTGTTAAAAGAACATTGCAATGTTCTCAAGGAATTGTTAAATCTTGGTATCATTCCCAACTGTCACCAAACGGCTTGTAATCATTTTCTGGAAACTGTACAGCATTAAATCACATATTTTCCTTATTAATTGTTCATAGTTTTTCTAAATTTCAGTTTTCATTGTTCATAATTATTTACAGTAATAACATATTTTTCCGATTGTGTGCATGGCAACACACAATAAAACAGGATATGTTTTATGGATTAATAGGCCACTCCCTTGCTTCAATTCCAACTACATCTCTGGAAATACCACTTGCTGTTTATCATCCATATTTTGATATCCCACAATGTGTCGATTGCGTATCTGGAAATTCTAACTACTTTTTTGCAAAATTTGACCAGTCTTGCTTTTACCAGTCATTTAAGTCAACTCCCATATTGTCTTTCACAGTGAATGTTAATGCAGATATATTGTAAATTACACAGAGGTAACATTACAATACATTTCCCTTCACATTCCCCTGTATTACATAACAATCTTTGAGCTGAGGCAGTTATGGTTCTACAACCATCACCAGTTCTCTTGTGTTATCTGAAAGCCTGTCAAACTGTTCACTGAAAGGATTCCCACTTTACACTGATCGAGTCTCTTCTGATTCACTGTGCCCCCTTCTGTACACTGTGCCCCCTTCTGAACACTGTGCCCCCTTCTGTACACTGTGCCCCCTTCTGTACACTGTGCCCCCTTCTGTACACTGTGCACCCTTCTGTACACTGTGCCCCCTTCTGTACACTGTGCCCCATTCT